GACCCCGGGGGGTTCCCGTGGCAGTAGACTGAGACCACGTGGGGTTCCCGTGGCATTTTGTATAAGACCTTGGAGGGTTTCCATGGCATCCTAGTATATTTGCATGGTTAGTTTGTATGATATTTGCTTGTTAGAGAATACCATGTGGGGGTTCCCATGGCAGGAAGACCAAGTGGGGTTCCCATGGCAGGTATTTAAGACCACGTGGGGGTTCCAGTGGCACTAGGTGTAAGAGCCTGGAGGGTTTCCGTGGCTTCCTTATATGTTGTATGCATGGCTTATGTGATATATGTAGCTTTTATAGCTAATATGATATGTGTTATGTGGACTGTGTGGGGGGTATGCTCTGGGGGACTCACTAAGCATTAGCTTACAGTTTATGGATTTGTTTCAGGTACATTCGAACCCAAGGGCAAGGGCAAGGCTTGATGGCGCGGCGTGCACTCTCTCACTCATGCGTTTTTATGGGACACTATGATGATTGGAAATAAAATTTCAATGGTTATAAATTTTGAAAACAACTGTATTTGGGATTTTATGGTTTGTGGAAAATATTTTGGTTAATCAAAAATGAAAATTTTCTTTTGAAAATTGGGTCGTTACATCTTAATCTTTTGTGGTTCTCATTTGAACCACTCCATATATATATATGCGGATAACTCAAATAAAAACTATAAATATTGTGAAAATGTAAAAACACTACTTTTATGTTATTATTCTGCAATGAAATTTGAATCCACAACTTTATGTCATTATTCAGCAACAAATAAATGAATAGTCACAGGTTAAAACTAAAATTAGAATTTACTACAAAAAAGCACATACATAAATTTATAATAGAATAATAATAATCTATTGAATATATGAATAATCAAACATTAATATTCATATTAGAATTACTTCAACAATACACATATACAACATTCATTTTAAAATAATAATATAAACGTAGTGTTTTTACGTTTTCACACTATTTATTGTTTTTTTTAACTTACTTCTATATATATATATATATATATATATATATATATATATATATATATATATATATATCACACAAAAAAGTTCGCATTTTAAGAATGGTTCACTGGAAAACATGGATTTGCAAAAGTTCGCATTAAGGTAAAATATGATGCGATTATAACCATACTTGATTGACTAGTAAAACACGACGATCAAAGACGTCGAAATGGTATGACATTCGTCATCCGTAGACCTGCAGGTCTCACTGTAGCTAGCAGCAAGGTGTAGGATGGTCAATCCTGTATAGATCTATACACAAACTCACGCTCTCCCTCCAGGAGACTCTGGTTACAAAATGTGACACAGCAGTACATTGATGTGCCATTAAGTAGTGGCTCACATTAATGTTATATTGTTCTTGTATTTGTATAGTATGTTCTCTCTGTTCTAGTGTATAGTATGTTCTTTCTGTTTCTCGTTATAGTATGTTCTTTCTGTTTCTCGTTATAGTATGTTTGAACTGACTCATGTATGAACTGACTCTTGTATGTTTCATTGTTCTAGAAATAGTGAGTAGTAATCCTCTAAACTATACTTATTATAGTTTACTAGTACTGTTGTTTGAATGACTGATCATGTTTGTACACCTTTGCTATCCAAAGGTATTGAACTGATGGAAGAACTTTTATATCTACATACATATACATAATATATAACTAAGATTCAAATGACACTCGGACAAACAACCGATACCCTAAGTCCACAACCAAACAAGGAACATGAAATAAAACGAGTTATCAGTCCTAAGCCCTTTCAACCTTATTTATATAACTATATCTATATAGACATGATTTTGACAATATATAAGTTTAAAAGATTTTGATAAAGAGTTTAGCATATAAAAGAGTTTTAACCATTTGAATGGTTATAGATGACTTGATGTCAGTTTATAAATGTTTTGAAATAGTTTGTTTGATAACACAGTTTTGAAGTATAAGAAATCCATTTGTTTGATAGTTATTAATCACATGTGATTGATACAATAAATATAATGTTTTCTACTTGTATCCCCCCTCCCCATAAAAGCATTTAAAATCATTTAAAAGATAAGTTATGGGTATGAACTCACCTGTAGTGAGTGATTCGAATGTAAGATCGATATAGGATGCTAAGTGTCAAGTGAAGTCTCGAGCACAAACGGGTCCTATTAAGCATATAATGACACATATATATGTATATAATTAGTGTATATAACAACTAATCATGTTAGGGAACAACCTTAGGGACTAGGAAACACTTGGAATGAAGTGTTAAAATCACATATGATTGTACAAAAAGGGAGTTCACGGCCACACCTTAAGTGTTTACGGCCAAAGGTGTGTTTATGGCTAAAGCACTTAATCTTAAGAAAGGTTTGCAGCCCTAACTTGCATCTATGAAGTGTTTGTGGTCCTAATCTTGGTTTTAAGAAGGTTCACGGCCAACATCATGATCTTAAGAAGGGTTTACGGCCAAAGGGAGAGTTTACGGCCGTAAACTCTTGATGTTCATGCTAAAATTGTTGATTCTTGGTCGTAATTCAAGAGCTTCTAATGGATAACTAGTATATGAAAAGGATACTTACGTTTTGGAAGCTTGAAGGGGTGATTACGACCCAAAAGAACTAGTGTGTGTTCTTGATGTTCTTTGTGTTCTTGGTGATTTGAAGATCTAACCCAAAAGAGATGAATTCACGGATAAAATCATAGGGTTTTACTAGATCAAGAAGGATATCAACTAATAAAGAAAGAATCACTTACAACTTTGTCGAGAAATAGAAGTGATCTTGATGATACTTGAGAGAGAAATGAGAGTTCTTGACTTGGAGATGTGAGAAGTGAAGAAAAATGAAGGAAAATCATACTTAAGGAGAAGAGTTCATGGCTAGACAAGATTTTACGGCCGTAAACTTAGTTTGTGGCCGTAAACTCCTTGTAATAGAGTTTTCCGGCTTGAATGCTACACAATGAACTCTAGTAGATACTTTTTAACACCCAATCCTTGAATGTACTAGGCTTAGAACACTCAAACTGACCCTTAACAATGCTAAAAGATAGCAGAAACAAGTCTGACTTTTGATTGAATTGAATGGCTTTACAATATAGAAATTTCGGGTTGTCACAAAAACTGATTTTTTTTTTTTTAATTTTTTTCTTATTAAGTTATAATCATTAGTGACTAAAAGAAGCAATATTTTTTGAGTTTAATCATTAAGAAGGTTTACTTCTTGAGTCTATAAGAGGTTTTAGGATTCTGCTTTATTCATTTGCGCATATTTGTTTTTTTTTGTTTGATTTTTAATATAGATTTAGTTCTTGTGGATGATTACAGCCTTTCTTTATTCATTTCATATTAAATGTGTATTTGGTTAATGAGTTAAGCACTTTGTTGACAAATAATACAAAAAAAAATCTTTGATTTCTTGTAGATCGACCGAGTTAATATGGATTGCCTAAAGGATTATAACGATGAAAGATGAATGCACATGGACAACAACTCGGAAGGAGCCGAAATTTATTTATATTAAGACATTGTAAATTTTCATTTGTAATTATAATTGTATTCATATATTATTGTAATGTGTTTTGTTTATTTATTTATTGCAAAGTTGATGTTTTATCTCTAATTTGTGTTCTATTCATTTAAGATTACAAATGTATTGATTTTTTTATTTTTATATTGTGCTTTATTCATTTACGATTATATTTGTATTCATTAAAAACTATAATATTTTATATTTATGAATAAAAATGTGCATTCATATATGAATACATGGTCTCAAAGTGATTTTAATCATTAACTACAGTTGTGTCAATATAAACATACAAAGTCAAATTCTAATATAATCATTTATGATTGATAGTTTAGTTTTTTATTCATTTACGATTGACGTATTATTTACATGAAATCGGAGAAAAAAATTGATTTTTTAAGAATTTTTTTTCAGTTTTAAAATAACTTTTGGTAAAAATATTTTTTATATTCCATTAATAAGAAAAATAAAAAATCGAATATTATTTGGTTTCTGGTAACTAGATTCTAATTTTAAGGGAATTTGATTAAATTTTATTTTATTTTAATTTAATTAAAATATACAATTACTGATATGCCCTTATATATTGATTGGTCCAGAACTGTTCTCGCGTTCTCAACCTTTTAGGTGTTCTCATTAATATATATATATATATATATATATATATATATATATATATATATAGTTAGATCTTTTACAAATCCATATTTTCCAGCAAACCATTCTTAAAATGCGAACTTGTTTGTGTGATTTAAAAAAAAAGTGACATAAAGCACCAAATCGGTCCTATAGAAGCATATTCGCAAAAAAAAAAATTCTCGAAAAAAATATGCATACACGACAGGTGCATATGTGCATTTTTTACGAACTTGTGATTTCCGACGTTTGTGCACATATGCACCTGTTGTATATTCATATTTTTTTTCGAGATTTTTTTTGCAAATATGCTTCTATAGAACCGATTTGGTGCTTTATATCACTTTTTTTGAAAAAAAAACATCACACAAAAAAGTTCGCATTTTAAGAGTAGTTCACGGATAAAATAATTTACAATAGTTAACCGATGAGGTTACAAATTTGATAACTAAGCAGAAACGTAGGCATACATCCGCACAATTATAGCATTTAAATTGTCATTGTATCTGGATGGTGTTGCTATGATTGGATTAGATTTTCCAAATATGCAATGTTGTAATGGGAAAAAAAAATTGAAAGCATGATGCAGTAATAAACAAACCAATGACAATTGATTAGTAATACACTGCTATTCGTTGCCTTCAAGTTCAACCCTTAGCCGAACTCTAAACTTAGAATAGCACCTTAATATAATGGAAAACAAATTCGAACAGTTGTTGCTAAGAAAAGAGCTAAATGAAAGAAATAGGAACATACTTTCATATATGTGTAGCAGTATAGCATCCTACTCCCATTCCTTCCTATTACTTTTTCTTTTTAAGTGAGTGTACTTTGTAAACTAGCACTATACTTTCAATTATGTTCATATTAGGACATTTAGTGTATAGCACTGGTATATAGAATTGTATTAATGTAATAGGAAGGAATGGTATGATAAAACAAATGAATGAAAATATGTTGGGCTTGACAAAACTCCAAAGTTTGAATTGAAAAGGCAAAGAAATTGGTGTTCTACACAAGAACGCTGTAAACATTTTCACTCTGCTGGGCGATATCAGCAGAGGACACGAGGCCGTCTTGTGGCATGTCAGCATTGGCATCAGCAGGTTCCTGACAGAAAGAGGAATCATCAATTCCATTGGAAAGAGAATGTGTTTGATCCACTTTAGTCGGCATATAGCAGAGTTGGGAATCGTCGTCTGCATCTCCCGGAGGAAGGCATATCTCAACATCATTATTTTCAACCATGTTTATAGGTGAAGGAAGACAAAATTCGGTTAGGAACTGTCCTGAATCATCTTTTCGCCTGCGTTTCACCCCCATGCCCATGCCTTTTCGCCTTATCCGTTCTTTTCCTCTTATTTTTTTATCGACTTCATTTTGTTCAGAATCGGTGACATCAGCAATCATCATGCTTCCGATTTGGTCTCTTAAGCATTCATGAGCCAGATACCGGATTCTAGTCACCGCGTGCATCTGTTGATCGTCCATTCCGTGGGTTGACAGCATGTCCGCTACGTTTGCTATGTCCCTCAGTGCAGCATTCTGTCACATGTCAATATAAAAATTCCAATTACAAAAATTCAGAAAAATAAGACTTCTCAAATAAATCGAAAAAGTTAGGACCCAAGTGTGTCTGTGATTTTCTCTTCTCAAATATGTTAAATATCATTTATCTAGACAGCACAGCACCATAAGGACATATAAATTGGTGATATGACTCCTATTCTTTTGCATACAAATTAACTTAAAAACTCAACATTTTAATGTAGAAAAGAATGGCAACTGTTTATTAACTCACTTGACAAAATCTTAATCGGTTAATGGGTTAAGGTCAATGCAGAAAAAGCGACTTATTACAAAAATTCAGAAAAATAAGACTTCTCCATTAGGTCCTAACTTTTTAGATTTATTTTCCTTCAATTTTCCCATCATTTTCTGAAACATCATTTTATCCAGATAAACACTTTATCGAGGTGGCAATTAATGGGCAAGGGCCTAATCAGGTAAGGGATTACATTATCCTAAGCCAATAAAAAATATAATAATAATAATAATAATAATAATAATAACTATGTCTGTTATGCAAACATACTTTAAGTAGATGATATGGAAATGATTATACAATAAAATCACTTATTATTTTAGGGCTAAATGCAAGACATAGCAATGTAGTTTCATTTATTTGTTACTATAGCATCTTACTTTCATTTCGCCTTGTTAACACAATCTAATTCAAAGTGTTTTTGAAAAATCTACCCAATCATAACATTGTGCTTTCGAACTTTTTCTAATAGCTCGAAAAACTACTCAATTATAGCAATGTAAATTGGTCTGTATCTTTTGCTATATTTGGGCAGATAGGAAAAAATGAAAGTAGGATGAGACGTTGCTATTTGTATTGAAAATATAGATAGCAAAATGTAAGAGAGTTTAGGGAAACAGCATAAGTATTTGAGTATTTATTTGTACCATTCTTTGAAACTCAGAAGAGATAGGAATAGGTCGTCCAACCAACTTTCGGGTAATTTTCAAGTACCAATGCAAATATTCAGTTTCCTCAACATCTTCATCAACATCAACAACACGGAGATGGCGATCTGACCATTCACTTAGCTCGGTTTCCATTTTAGCAGACAGATCTACCCCTCCATCTACCCCACGGCTCTTCCTCTCCCATTGCTGCACATCAAGAGGGATAGGCTGTCGAATCCCAAACTGCCTCAGGCATCGATCCGGCAGATGCCTTTCAGCCTTGTCAAAGCATATCAACATTGTATTTGATCTTCCAAGAATAAGATTATTCCTTATATCTTCAGGTAACATCGCATCACTAATATTTACATACGGACACCACTCAACCTATTTATTATTATTAACACACTATTAGTCCTCATTAACCCTTACTTAATTAATATACTAATATTACTTACTTCAGAGGGCTTTAAGGAGTCCAATGCTTTACGATAGAAAGCCACATCCCGGTTGGTAGTTGGACCAGTATGTTTCCCTTTCCATCTAAACACAAATGGAAATCGATCATGTCTTGGATCATGGTTAAGCTTCGGTCGACCAATATTCAGCCGAAAGTAACTCCAACACTACAACATTTTTTAACAACTTTTACAAACAAAATCATAACATGTTTGTTTATCGAGAATTATAAACTAAAAAAAAAAAAAAAGCAAAGATATAAAGCACCTGTAAAAGTGTCAAACAGCCACTGATGGTGCTTTGAGATCTCAAAGAAGCATTCCCAAGTGCTCTATACAAGAAAGACAAAGCTGCTGCACCCCACGCATACCTCCCAGCCTGATCAAAGTTCTCAAACAATGGAAGATACATAACCGGGACCTTATTCCCTGTAGTGGTGGAAAAAACCGTGCTTCCAACAAGATACAAAAGGTAAGCGCGTGTATGCCTTTCAATTTCATCAAGTGGGGCCCCCTCGGGACATTTTGAAAACGTCTCTTTCAACCAACTAAGTTTGACCATGCCACCACTTGTTGACCCTGAGTCAGGGGTTCGACCTAAATACTTGCTGCATACAGCATCACATGTAGTGTAGGTTACACCTATGACAGGGTCTCCATCAATTGGGAGGCCAAGAAGGTAACCCACATCTTCAAGGGTTACCGACATTTCTCCTACAGTGAAATGGAATGTGTTTGTTTCTCTTCTCCATCTTTCAACAAGGGCGGATATGAGGGGGTTGTCTAGACTGATGGCAGGAATTAGTCTTAAGTAACTGAATCCTGCTTTTTTTACTAATTCGATTTGTTTTGGTGTCAGTGTCCATTGATCCAGCTTTGAAGTGTGTTCATGGCATCTAAGTGCACCACGCTCCTGTCATTTTTTTTTATATCATGTTGTATGGATAAATGTCAGTATTTCAGAAAATGGAAGGAAAAATAAATAAGGGAAATTTTATAAAAGGTTTGGGAGTGTTAATGGGAAAGTCTCGTTTTCTTACTTTTATCTGTATTAAGTAAACAAGAAACACCCATACATAGCTTAATGGGGGCGTAGCATCTTCTATTTTATGTTATAATGTTTTTGGAATGTGTTCAGATTAATCAAATTGTGTGTTGGTGTTCTAAACAGAAGGGTAAAATACTCACGTTCAGTCTAAAAAGGAAACAGACTTTGTGTATAAATTATAAAACACTTTATTAAGAGTTAAGACAGACATCATGTACCCATTTAGCATTTTATCCATACAACAGGTAGTGGGGAAAAAAGCATGCCTTAATCCAGTAAGCTATATACAGGTGTTTCTTTTTTTACTTAATACAGAACATCAGGGAAATGAGACTTTCCCGATTAAGGTCTAATTTTTTACAAATTCACCCTTCATTTAGTTTTTCCTTCCATTTCCCCACGTTATGTCATTATTTTCTCAAATATTTTTAAACATTTATTTGTCCATACAGCATTTTATTCATACATCAGTTAAAGAAGAAGCAGCATCTAAGCTATACAAGAAAGGAATAACTCACCTGACCCTCCCAAACAGCTGATGAAACATGCTTCTCTTGATCATACAATACAGAATCATCAATAGGTCCTGGATTGGTTGCATAAAAGTCCATGGTTGCTAATTATACAAGAACTGCCAAAACATACAAGAAAAAAGTGGAAGATTGTTGTGAGGGAGTAGACAATTTAGGTGGAATGGAAGAACTTAACAACTTAAAATCCATGAGGTCATTCAGTTCAGTTAAAGGAAAGCAACAGAAATTAGAAATGTTGAACATCTATGCTGAAGAACAAATCCAATGTACACATTTCTTTTTTCTTTAACTACTTGTTGGATGACCCCCACTACCTTTTATTCAGGATCACATCAAGGAAAATCTAATTTGATGAGCTAACAAGCACACAAGCAGATTGCCTCTCAACTCTCTTAACCCATAAAGCTTTTATAATATGATATATTATCAAAATCATTATTAAAACTACAAGTGCCCTCTGAAAGACCATCATCACAAAGTGTTTATATATGATAGCCATTAGTGAACCTCTTATGGGAAATGGCTACATATTTAAGATTTCTTTGAAAAATGGCAAAATTATTAGCTACAGATTCCTAATCACACGCACGGACAAATAGAGGAGGCGCAAACGCATATGTTCAACTGCAACCTTAGCTACCACGCCCTCCCTCCTGTGGAAACTACAACAATAACTGATCAACCCTATAATGATCTTCAAACCAACAAGAGTATTCATATAAATGCATTATATAAGCGGTTAGAAACAAACGATACAAAAACCACAGAGAGATTATACAAATAAACACACTTACTAAATTAGAGAAGCGTGTTTTCTGCTACATTGACATATATTAAGTCCACATGTAATTTCGGGGAATTTCGAAGGTTAGAGATATGAAAAGAATTTCAGACAGAGAAGAATCAATGATGATTAATCAGAGACTGGTAGGATTTCTTCGCCAGATTTAGAGAAATTGACTTAAAAGATCGCCGGAAATTGTGTACGACGACGGTGAGGAAGTGAAAGACGAAGACCGGAGAGAGAAGATAGAAGTTGATGCCTCGAGGGTCTGCAATTTGATAAAATACCTAAGACGACATAGTTTCTCATCTTTTAGATTGAAGTCACAAATGATCCATCAAATATCTATGAAATTGCACCTTTAGCCCATACATTTTTTTAGGGTGAATTATATGTCTATTCGACAACAAACTACGTGGTGGTCGGGTAGGCATGGGTCTTTCACAGCAGAGGTCAGTGTTTTAGTTTTGGGGATTTTAACCAATGTTTTAAGAACTGTGGCTTAGCTTTTGAGAGGGCAAAAGTCATTTTAAGAAAAGTTGCAAAAAATCATTTTACCTCAATTTTCCAAAAAGTTCATTTTCCTTATATTCAAAAGTAGCTTTTACAAGATCTTTTGCTTTTACCAAACATCTTTTAGTTTTTTATATTTTCCTAAAAGCTAAAAGATGTTTTAAAAGATAAAACAAACACCCCCTCGTTTCAACCGCCCGATCGAACCGATTGGACCGAAAACCGGGGACGAGACGATTCAATAACGATCGATTTTATGACAATTTCTAGCCTGGATTGAACAAAACGGTTTCATTAAAAACTTGGTTGAAACGGTGTGATAGAATTAGTAAAAAAAACTCTTTAAACCGGTTTATTGGATTTGTATAGTTGGATTTCACAACACCCGTTAAGAAAACAACTAATTTTCAAAGCAAATTGAACATTTTCAGAGGGTATACAACTTTCAGACCGACGCACACCACCGCCAGATGTAGGAAAAATCTTGATTGAATCGGCGGTCGAACCTGTTGAACCAATAGTCGGACCAATTAAACCTGAAATCGGTCACCATATGTCACACCCCCAAACCGGAACGGCGGAAACGTTCGGGGGCGGATGACGTCTTGTCAAGTATCACAACACATGCATTATAGTAATCAAAGTACAAACAACCATTGCATTAATAATGTATAAGTTTTTACATAAGTGTTTAAACATTACATATTCAAACATCAAAAGTAGATATAGCAAAAGACGAAAGACGCAGCACGGTACTAGGCTGTCTTCTCAAAGGCTTCGGGAGAGTACATGTCTACTGGATTCCTGAGAATACAAGTTATTTTGAAAGAGATGATCAGCATTTAAGCTGGTGAGTTCATAAGTATTTTTGTTATATAAAGTATAATCTAAGTTTTTGGAAAAGTTCGCCTGTTCCTCTAGAAAATCCTATATTTTCTGCTTTACAATTAATAAGTAGTTTTAATCTCCTAAAACCGTTATGTTTAAGTAGTTTTAAATCCCATAAAACCGTTTTGTTTTGTTTGTGGAGAGTGATGAATATAGTAGTATTTCTTAAAAATAAACTACTGGTGAATAAATACCCTATTATTAAACTGGTTGATTAGGGTTTAAAATATGATAAAGTTATAACCATACTGATTGACTAGTGTTTAACACGACAACCTGCTGGCGTCGAAACTAATGTGACATCTGTCACCCCTTGGCTTGCCTGTCGGACTGTAGCTAACAGTTGGGATGGGGGATTGTCAGTCTCGTATAGATCTATACACACAATGTCCGCTCTCCCTCCAGGAGACTCTGGTTACAAAACGCGACATAACAAGTATATTGCTATGCCGTGAAGTAGTGGCTCACGTTTCTGGTTTATCTAGTTTAAGTAAAGATCGAATGATATCCTTTTCTTAACAAAGTAGTTTAAACCTGGTATACTTATCTAGTAAAAATAGATTTCTCGTTTGTTTCATAAATTATACCTATTATAATTTATATGTTCTATCTGGTTAGCATGATCTCTCGTGAATGTACCCCTTTGCTCAACGTGATACAAAGGTAACAATATTGATGGAAGTAACCTTTTATATTCCAATATGTATAATATATATATTTAAGAAGGAAACGGCCTTCGGACAAATAACCCCACCTTAAGCCCATATCCAAACAAGGAAAAGGAAATAAGGAAACTCATCCATCCTAAGCCCTTTTAGTCTTAATTATATACCTATACATATATGAGCATGATTTTGACAAAAATAAAATAAAAGAGTTTATAAGACATTTTCAAAGAGTTTAACAGTATCAAAAGAGTTTAACAGTGTTTAAAAGAGTCTACATGACTTTAAAGAGTTTACAAGACTTTAAGTCATTTTGGAAGTATTTGGGTAATCATTTATTATAAAGATAATAATTCAAAGCATAAGGAAATCTTTTATGTGATTGATATCACATGTAATTATTATCACAATTAGCTTGTGTTCGACTTGTATTCCCTCCCTAAAAAGCATTTAAAATCATTTAAAAGGTAGATTATAAGGGTATAAACTCACCTGATGTTGGAGATCTGATTGAAGATATGATATAAGATGTTTGGTATGCCAAGTGAAGTCCCGAGCACAAATGGATCCTATTTGGCATATATTGACATATATAGGCATACAATTAGTGTATATAACTACTAACATGTAAGGAAAACAACCCTAGGAAGTAGGAAACACTTTCAATGAAGTGTTAGAACCACAAATGGAAAGTTGAATGATGATCACGGCCACACAAGAGGAGTTCACGGTCCTATGGGGTGTTCACGGCCCAAGAACACATGAGTGTTCACGGCCAAATCATGAAGGGTTCATGGCCCTATGAAGGGTTCACGTCCGTGAACTCTTGAAGATCATTAAGATCATGAAAAGAAGTGTTGCATCTAGGCTAGAATCAAGTGTTTCAAAGGGACTACAAGAAGAGGGATGAGATACTTACGTTTTTGGAGTGAAAAGAGGGCCTTCACTTGATGATACTTGAGAGAGAATAGGTAGTTCACGGCTGGAGGTTGAAGAAGTGATGAGAAAATGAGTGAAACTTATATATATGGAGGTTAGTTCACGGCCCTAGGATGGGTTCACGGCCGTGAACCTAGTTTGCGGCTGTGAACCACTTCTGAAGGTGTTCCAGGCTCGATTGCAAACCACTGAACTCAAGATAGCTTAATCCTAACACTCAACCCTTAAGTGTGCTAGGCTTAGAGACTCTCAAACTGGCCCTAAACATAGTAAACAGATAGAAGAAAACGAGTCTGACTTTTGATTAAATTGGATTGACTTACAAGATAGAGATTTCGGGTAATCACACCATACCGGTTCAACAAAAAAACTGGATTTTAAAACATTGATTTTAACTAGGAGTTAGAGGGTGTTTGGAATTTCATTTTGAGGTTAAAAACGACTTTTGCCAAAAAAAAAAAAAAAAAAAAAAAAAGGACTTATTGACTTGTGAATGTGGGAAATGAGTTTTTAAAAAAGTGTTTGGATTAGTTTTTTAGTGGCAAAAGTCAATAACTCAATAAGTTAAAAAGTGTTTGGCTTAAAATTGTCTTTTGTTTGTTTTTTATCCTAATAAGTTATAAATCATTTCAAAAAGTCACAATTTATTACTTCTTGAAAACTCATTTTCAAAGGCTAAACAAAAAGGAGTTTTAAAAGTCCTTATTAGGTATCCAAACAATTTTTTAACTTATTGAAATTTCAAGATGTCAATAAGTTAATAAAAAGTTTTTAGATGAACACTCAAACACCCTATTAGTCAGGAGAGGATATGTGAGGTGTCTTAGCATACGAGCCCTCCTCTTGTCCTTGCGAAAGCAAGGAGCAATAATGGACGGCTGGAAACTTATTTACATATCTACTCATAACTTTCACAATCTTCCCGATTTATGGAATTATACAAATTTTTATACATACTATGCAATGCCATTTTGAAATATGAATACAATTGGTTAAACCAAAATTGTTTTATTTGTGATGTATCGTGAGTTCTAAATATAAAGACCATACGTCTCTAAATCAAAATCAACCGATGTGATCCTAAAAAACAAAACAAACAAAAAAATAAGTTTTCTCTTTTGACAACGATTATAGGTTCAACATTATTTCTAGTTCTTTTTGGCCGTTTTATGCAACGTCCCAAAACTTCAACCATAATTTTTTTGTTTTTAAATAAAAGTAATCATCCCAATTTCATTCAAAAGATAGATAAATAACCATTGTATAAGTTTGATAGTCCAAAAGCCAAATATCAGAGTATTAAAGATAGAAAAATCATAAAGTGTGGAAGTCTCCAATAGATGCAATACAATCAAGTCGCACGTTTCCCCTTGCTACTAGGATAATCTGGAACATTTAAACTTAAAATGTAAGCACAAAGCTTAGTGGGTTCCCCAAAATGCCACATGCCCATGTGAATGTTATGATACTATCATAGTCTTACACACACTTTCGTTGTTGTAGTACCATTGCAGTCTTTCCTGTTATGGTACCATCATAGTCTTTTCATACAAGTGTTATGGTACCACCAGAGTCTTTCATACAGGTGATATTGTACCACCATAGTCTTTCATACAAGTGTTATGGTACCGCCATACTCCTTCATGCAAAAGTCACAAAGACAAGCTAACATAGATATTTAAGACTTATTATCCTACATAGTATAATGAGAAGACTCACCTGAATCACAAAGCTGAATCTCTACTACTCGAAGTCCCAAAGAACCAACTATACGAATTTCCTAAAACAAACAGAGGCTAAACCTCAGTCTACAATTAAAAAAGTCAATATGGTCAAAAAGTCAATGGTCAACGGTCAAAGCCAATGGTTAGCGACCATTCGCATTGCGGCCAACTCATAGACTGTTTTTGCGGTCATTAAACGCCAAAAGAATCGCGATTGGCCTTCGCGACCCGTGCTATGGCACCCAAGGAACTGCAATGTGATTCACGTCCACCCAACTTAATCCATTAAGCTCTTAATCCTTAATTTCAGAGCTCCAAAGCTCATATGTAAATCGACTAATATCCTGCATGGCTAAAGTTTCCAACTTTATCCCTTTCTTAAGCTTAAAATTCCTAGATCTAGATCTAAATGTCCAAAAAGACCAAAGCTTTATGCATGGCTTGAAATTAGTGACAAGATTACAACCTTGTGGGGCCAAAAGGTCCAGAAATCACTCATAGCTTAAGTAATGGTTCTGTAGTTTCTCAAGCTCTAAGAGTCGTCCTCAAATGATCAAATAAGGGCTTCTAAGCATGCACAATCAACTAGAAAGTAGAAAATGTATGAACTTTATACCTTTGAGATGTAATGGAAGATGCTTAGAAACCTAGATCCCAACAACAACAATCTCAACAAGCAGTGAAATGGCCACCTTCTTCCTCTAAATGATCACCAAGACTTAAATTTTCACTCAAACACAAAGATACACACCCACAAGGGCTATGGTTTATGTTTCTAAGAGCAGGAGGTTGCAAGGATACGACAGTTTTTGCCATGTCACTTATATTCGATAGTTTTTGTGACGAGTCTACACCACGTTAATGCCAATGCCAATTTCAAATAAACAGAACGACATATGATTACATATATTACCTTGTAGATTATATATAAATAAATAAATATATATATATATATATATATATATATATATATATATATATAAGAAAAAAGCTAAAGACAAAGCTATAAAAGATGTTGAACAAACATTTGAAGCCTTCAAGAAGCATCGACACATAATAGACAATCTGATACATCCACGATATAATGAAAAGGTTGCAGCTACTATGTACACGTGTATCATTTTACACTATGATTCTGGATGACGAGTGGAAAGCAATATTTACTTACGTAAAAAGCATAAATATTTCATCATAATATATATGAAAAATTAATCATATCGATCTCAACATGGAACCCAAAAGCCAATTGAAATAAGAAAGGTGTTACATGACAATGAGAAACATAACGACCTTCACAACGATTTGGCATAATATATATGAAAAATTAATCATATCGATCTCAACACGACCCTGATGGCAACACTGAAGTTTTTTCTTATTGAACTACTTGTTTTAGTATTTTTTTTTTCATTTAGCGTCTTTTTGTAATTTTAATTTCATGTTAGGCTTTTAAATTTGATTTTATGGTTTTTAATTTTAATAATGTAATGTTTTTCTTAAAAAATTTAGTTAATTTTTTTCAATTTTAATATAATGTTTTTTTATTTATTTTAATTTATGTTTTTCTAATTTTAATGAAATATTTGTTTTAAAAAAATGAAAAACATAAATAAATGTTGGAGTCACCACACCGCATTCATTGGCAAAAGCAGGAGGGATTCTATGTGGCATCAATGCAAATGTGACAGCTAGAATTATAAACAACTATAAACAAATAAATAGAATGCTAAAAGGATAACATATATACTGGTCTAAACATTCGAGGTTTCAATACAGCAAACATATCTCAACTTGGAAAAACAAAAACAAAAAACAAGGGCATTTCTCACAGACATGACCTGAGGTCCTTTTTTTTTCCCTTTGGGGTTGTTGAAAAGAAAAAAAAAATCAAATTGCAAACCAAAGAAAATGTAAGAAAGACTTCCAAAGCAAGTAAGTATATAATGAAGAAGATGAATATGGAACAACAATTAAGGTAAGGTAAGGTAAGGAGGAGTGTGTTAAGTCCAAGGGTCATCCCAGCCATTAGGACCCCCACTCTTGAGAAATTGCATTATTGCCTGGACAGCTTCATCAGTTCTATTCGATAAAGAATGGTTTCCCCATTCTATCTCAACTTTCTCTGCACCCCCCAGTGCTCTACATAATCTGCATGCATGCATTTTACATTAAAGTCACATATCACACACAGGTTGTATTGAGTTTGACATGCATTGACTAATTAATGACTATGACTTGTGTGAATGAACAAAAATTGCAATTTTTCGTCCCACAAAAATAAATAAAAAGATGGAAGGAACATTTATTATTTGGAGAAGTTAATAATAAGGACTTGCCTTTGTGCTAATGCTTTCTTGTCAACATAATCCGGTACATATTCATCAGCCATAGAAAATATTACCTGCAGAATCCAATTACATTTTAACCTGAATTTCTTGTTATGGGAAATGAAAAGAAGAAAATAAATTTGTAAAAAAGTACCTGGGAAGGTGTGTTACACATGTGACCAAGTCTCTGTTTGAGTTGGTCATCACTGAGATCAGAACTGAACATGTCATCATCGCCCATGTATGCACAAAGGGAGTGAAATCTACACGCACCACCGCTTTCATTCATAAATCATAAATCATAAATCATAAATCATAAATCATAAAACATAATCTCCCCCCACTTTAAGAATTAGTTTTTTTTGTATGTATTTAAATCTTATCGTTATCATTAATTCATATCTATAGTACAATAAACTGACTCATACATTTCCTAATATTCATTAGTGAAATTTTAACTCATAGCAGTAAGAAAACCAAATTATAACTAAGAAAAAGAGAAACATATAACAATAAACAAATAGCAGTAAGAAAACTAAAAAAAGGGTTAAATGCAATCTACTTTTATTGATTTGTTTAATATAGCATTCTATTTTCATTTCTTCCAATTACATCACTGTACTTTAAAGCAACTTACACTACTATAATTGAAGAGATTTTTCAACCAAATAAAAAAATTGAAAATACAAAGCCATAATTGTGTAGATTTTTTAAGTACAATCCCTTAACATAAAAAAACAAACACAATAAATGAAAGTAGGATAGGATGCTATGATACATACATATATTATATAGATAGCTATTTCTAAATGACGAAATAGCATAGACTTTAGGTACACCAGAATAAATATAAGATAAAAAGTAAAAAGTAAAAATGTGAGCGACACTGACCTATAAGCAGTTATTGGGGTATCTGGATTTGCTTCCCTGGGCATCAAGTCTGATCCTCGGCCTTCAGCTATTAGTTTTGAAGCCAAATCAATCATTCCAGCAGTTTCAGGGAGAGTTGCTCTGAATTCCCGATCACTAACTGGAGCCTGAATTGAATTAATCATCAAACTCATAACTCATATTGGTTTTTTTGGAAAATAATACAACTACCTAGATTTTTTCAATAATTTCAACTACCTGTAAAATAGCAGCACGGACAGCTCTGGAGCATGCTGCATTGGTACGCATATAATGAACAATATCCTAGTATTACAGAATTTATTATATATAATAATCTCTATTTATTTATTTATTGTATGTATAATATGCAATAATGCAAGTTCATACAAAAAAAAAAAAAAAAAAAAAAAGGAAAGCACTTACCTGACAGCCTGTACTATGCCCAAGCAGCACCACCCCCTCCGAATCTTCTTTGTTTATTAAGTAATTGATCAACTGATCAAGCTCCGAGGCATCCTTCCAGTTCCACATGACACAACCCAAAACAGGATCAGATTTAATAATGAGGCTATTTTCGTCTTTTAACAGAAACAGAAAGGACGATGGAATTCCCTTTCCACCCTCGCCTAGGAAGGATGAAATCCATCAAACATGGAATCAGGAGGATTGCAAAAGAGTTGACATTCAAAATTACTGTATTGGTATTGTAAAAGATCACACTACTATTTAAAAATCTTATAACAATTCTTTGGCTCTTTTAATGCTAAATATCAATATCAAAAATCAATTTAAAATAACTTCATAAAACAAAAGGTAAACTTATTAAAAGTATCAATCATTTAGAGGCTCTTCCTAGAATTGTTGTTGTTTAAAAATACTAATAAGTTTAAAAGGCCTAAGTGAAGGGTTACCTCTTTCAAGCTGGAGATGCCATATCCACTGTAAGAAGATGAAAGCAAAAACTGAACCAGTGACCATTTTTCTTTATCCAAAGCAATTGCAAGTGGCTCCAAATAACTGTTCATTTAAAAATTAATTCTATGCATGTTTCAGAATAGGTTTTTACCCAATAAATCTACAAATGCAAGAAATACCAATGTACTTTTATTGATTTATCTTTTTTTATATACCATTTCTATAACTCTTCAATTGTTTCACAATGTTGTTTGTAATGAGTTTATACAATTCATTATCATAGTAGTATGAAAAAGATAAAAAGTATATATACTTACTCTGTAGCCAAAAATCCGTCTGTCAATCCACCAATAAAAACGACTTGTTGTTTATAATCGCCAGTTTTAAATGCAACCTGCATCAAAGGCAAAGTATATGACTAAATCATATGTAGCATCTATTATCATGCCAATGTTATAACCTATAGTTGTGCTCACAGCTTAAAATGGTGGAAAGAATAATATTTAGTAAATCTGGAACATGTTTCTAGATTATGTCAATCCCATAATCAAGGAATTTGATTTGAAATGATTTCTGGAACTAATTAATATAATTAATATATGTTTGTTATGAAGGAATGGAACCACATATGAATAATGGAGTGAATAGAGTAATGGAATGAGCAAGGTAATGAAATGGGTCATTACTTCCATTCTCATGTTTGGTTTGGCTTTAATCAAGATAATATATATACCAAAATAAGTTACATAATAACATAATTCATGCTCATTTGAAATAGTACCAATTTTATTCCTATTAAGAACAAAAGATTAGGGCATCCTGGTTTTGCTAATCTTAAAAGGTTTTTCCCTACTTTCTTTCATGGAATGGATTGTTCTGAGTTTCATTGTGGAGTTCCCTTGTAGTCCTAGTTTTGCTTAGCCAGCTTTCCTACTTTAATTCTCATGTAGTCTTATTAATATGTAACTTCTTAAAAGTAGGAAACCAACTTTTCTGCTCATAGTTCTTATAACAACTTCAAAAAAATTATGAATGATTAACCAAGAGATCTTCTTGGTTTTAAGAAGAAATTGTCATTGCCTGCTCTGCGCAATTACTTTTATCTTCAAGTTCCATGAATAATGCAGGACTAACTAAGACAACTGCATCTGAAGTAGATCGACAGAAACAGCCATAGGCTGAATTACATTGCACGCGGAAATTAACTAGAAAGAGAACAATCTAATCATCTCTATTAGCAACTATTATCAATTTAAATCATCAAATGCAATTAAAATCTGAAGATCAGAAAGATCTTATAGACTTGGAGAGGACCAAAAACGAATATCGATGTATTCTCAATCACCTATAGTTCCAAATCTCGAAACGATTATATAAATTGAATTCAAAATTAAACAGTACCAACTACATTCGACTTCTAAAAACTAAGATATAGCAAAAGGATGAGAATATTCAGTTTAATTAGCCCATACCTGAACAGGCTTAGAACCGTACTTGAACATGATACCACGAAACTGATTCTTGCGATTGATTGGGCCGACGGTGCTGCCTCCGCCGCCCCCACCGCCGGTAACGGCAGATTTGATGGCCATTGTAGAACTGTTTGACTTGCGGCCACGTACAATGCCGGAAAACCAAGAAGATGATCCTGATGTAGAAGAAGATGCAAGAGGAGACGAAGACGAGGTGTTGGGGTTCATATTAACATCGATGCTACATAATTCACGTTACTTAATTAATAAATTCTAGGGTTCTCAGAAGTCAGAACTATCTCAATGACAGTTATGTAGATGCCAGAAACGAGTGAGGTGCAACTAATGCCAATTCAAGGTTTTGGATGATACGATTTAGAATCGGGAAAATGACTTGGCTAATTACCTTTTTTTTTTCTATCTCTTTTTTTGTTTATGGCAACTTTTATTTTATTTTTAGGAAAAAGACTTGTTCTGTGACCCATGTTCAAAATATACCATTCATTTTTTTTTATAAAAAATACTATTAATATGTGTTTCGTTTCGTATACACATTTTACCATTGGCAACCGGATACAAGAGGTAATCTCGGTATTTTGTAGTTAAAAATAAAAAAAACGGGTGATATGGAAATTGGGTATGTATATGTGACTATTACACCCACATCTCCCCTACTAATGGACCTTAGGGCACGATTTCTTCATTCTTCAAAACTGTTGCAAGATTTCTCCCATGGCTTCCTCCTCTACGCATAACTCCAACTCGAGATCGAAGAAACCCAAGTCATAATCAAAACTTGATTTTGCAAATCCTTGTGATTGTGGCTACCCTTCTCGGATTTGGACTTCAACGACCAAAGATAATCCTAGAAAAGAGTTTAGGGTTTGCCCTAATTCAACGGTATGTGGGGTTTAATCTACATCTAGTAAGGTTTTTTTCACTAATTTTCGTATTGTTTGTTTTAGGATAACCCAGAAATTAAATGCAAATTTTGGGAATGGGTTAATGAAGAAGATACAGTCAACGAGAAGAAAAGAGATGAAGTGGGGGCATAGTCAACAAGAAGAAAAGAGATGAAGTGGGGGCACAATCCTGTGAAGTGAGGATTGCCATTATGGGCCATGATTTCAATATTTACAAAAAGAAGACAGATGAAGGATTTGATAAGATGAGTAGGAAAATTAGTAGTCTCAAAAGTTATGTAATTGTGTTGTTTATGTTGTTTGTAGTATCACTTTGAAGGGTGTAAATGTCAAATTGTAAGTGGATCAAATTTAATGAGAAATTAGCATGTCCTTTTTTTTTGATGAATTGACAATTTGAATATGATGGTTGAATATGATTTACGGGAATAAATGTGAAAAATTATAGTTGGATGTGATGCCAATTCCAACACCTGTAGGCTGCAAATCATGAGTGTTAGATGAGACTGCTTTGCATAATTTTACCCCTGTTTAGTGGATTTCATCCAATAATTCAAGATGAGAAACCACTTACCAAATAATGTAGCATGTGCAATCCATAATAGTGTGAAGGGCATAATAGTCAAAAGAAGGGATCCTATGTAAAAGCAACATTAAATAATGTAGATTCTATTTAAAGGGCACTAACAAACAAAAACATAGTTTTTAATGTGTAGATTTACATCAACTTTAAAGTACCAAAAGACAAAAGCATAATGTTTTCTGCCCTAAACAAAATACATACTTAAACAAAAGACATAAATAAACCATCAAAGGGAATCATTCCAGAGTAACAGTTTAGTTACACTTAAACCACATCCATCCTTGGTGATGACAACCCTCTTCAATGCCAATTCGGTGATCCTCTCTGAGTATTTCCTTTGCCTCTTCAATGGTTGTGCTAGTTGTTCAACTTCAACAACAGGTTGTGCAACTTGTTCCTCAACCACATGTCCATTATCAGGTTCAACTTCAACATGTTTAATCACAGATTCAACTTCAACTTCAGCATGTTCAATCACAGGTTCAACTTCTACTTCTTGTTGATCTACAACAACTCTTCCTTATGCCACTTCAATAACAGGTTCAACAACATGTTCCAAGTCAACCACAGGTTCTTCTTCTCCTTCTTCAACTTCAATCTCATTTTCCAATTCAACCACAGGTTCTTCTTCTCCTTCTTCCACTTCAATCTCAGGTTCCAAGTCAATCATAGGTTCCATTTCTCCTTCTTCAGCCACCTCTTCAATCTCATATTCAGACTCATCTTCAACTTCAGGAACATGTTTACCCTTCTTCTTTTTGGGTTTAGTACTTGGTCCTACATTTAAATTTATTGTGAACAGATAACACTTATATTTTTTGTAAATGAATGAAAGCTGATATGAAAACAACCTTATTTGGCCAATGGATATCTGATTTAGTTGTGACCTGGTTGTCTACAGATGCTGCATTTTGTAACAGCGCCTTTCTTGCTAATAGTATGCCGACCTTCTTTTTCTGATGCATCCCTCTTCCTATTGACTCTAGGCCTGCCTGGTAATCTTCTACGTTTCGGGGGCAACATAGTATGACCAATGTTAGTTGGCCACATTTCACTTCCATTTAAAGGCTTAATTGTATACCTATAGCAATTTCTAAACATTTGTGGTGCGAACCAAATTGCCACATATTCTTCCACATTCTCATTTAGATAACTAATAGTAGCCATGTCATGTACACATGGTATACCGGTTAGTTGTCATCCTCTACATGCACATGTTCTTTGGTTCAAGTACACAACATAAACCTCATGTATTGACCTCACTTCAAATTGTTGCACTCCACTTGCAATTACATGCCAATGCCTATAAAATAAAGGAATATAGTATGAAAGTAGTACTTGGGAATCAATTTACATGGTTGGAATACAATAAAAGTATACATACCTTAGATGTGTCCTCATGTCCACTATTTTCCTTCTAATAGATGGACATATGTCTAGATTCCATTTCTGCCCCTTCATTCTTTTACAGTACATCCTATCCATCATAAACCTCTTAATTTCTTCTAACACTGTTATAATCGGCTTTTTCCTAGCATCCACAATTACGACATTAAATGATTCACAAATACCATTCTCAATGGCATCACAACACCTATGCAATACAAAAAAAAAACTAGACCAGGTTTTTGGATCTCTTTCCATCAAGTGATCATATGCTTGTATATCAATCACCCTAATCTCTTTCATTATACCTTCAAACACTTGGGCGGTTGTGGCCTTTGCAACCCTCCAAAAAAGCTTCCTATATTCAGCACTCGTAAATTTTTTCTTGAAATTAGCATAGATGTGCCTAGCACATTGCCTATGCTCAGCATCTAGTACTATTTCTTTAACAGCCTCAATAAGACCCTAAACATGCAAGATAAATAAAACATTAAGATAAATAAAACAATAACCAATTAAAATAGAGTTAAAGATTGTGAAAACATACCTTGTGTTGGTCAGAAAGTAGGTGTTGGGTCAAAAATATGGTTTATACTTTGCTTTTCTAGGAAAATGTAATTTTATGTCTAGGACCGTAAACAGCTCAGTGTTTACGGCCGTAAACAGGTTTACGACCGTAAACCCATTTACGGCCCAATGGGTGTTTACGGCCGTAAACCCATTTACGACCGTAAACCCATTCACGACCCATGTTCACCAAGCCCATGTTTTTTATGTATAAATATAGGTGTAAGGGGTGAGGAGTAGATTGATGAATGTGACAACCCGAAATTTCTATTCTGTACAACCATTCACTTCAATAGAAGTCAAAACTATTTCTGCTAACTTTCAAGCTTTTTGGAGTCAGTTTGAGTGTTTTAAAATTAGTACTTCAGGAGATAACAGGAGAGAGGATGCCCTAGGGTTTATTGTGCAACAATAGTGTCCCAAAACTCCAAGAGTTTGGAGTTTACGGCCTAAACAAAGGTGTTTACGGCCGTAAACCCTAAAAGGGGGTATAAATATGACACTTAGTCATTATTTACCACTTTTTCACATTTTCAAGATCCAAACTCAAATCCTCTCAAGTATCATCCAACTTTTCTTCTTGATCTTCAACTTTGTAAGTGTTTCTATCCCTAAAAAGTTGATATCTTACTTAATCTAGTGATCTTACATGATTCCATCCGTGAAATCATTCCAAAAGTGTAGATCTTCAAGTTTCACCAAGAACACCAAGAACACACACTAGTGTTCTTGGACTTTTAGCACCTTTTCAAGCTTCTACATAGTAAGTACTCTTACCTTGGCTTGTTATAAGACTTGTTACACTTCTAAAACATCTAGAAATCACAAGGAAACACTAGATCAAAGGTGTTTACGGTCCAAGATGTTCTTGGACCGTAAACCCTAATAAAGGGGCCAAAATGTGCCCTAGTCCCTTCTCAAGCCTTGGAAACTAGTGTAGAACATAACCTTGAAGTGCTTAGGACCTAAAACATCAAAAAGACCATAAACCCTTAGGGTTTACGACCGTAAACCCAAGGAGAAGTGGTCCAAGGACCGTAAACTCCACAAAGGAGTGAAATGATGCCACAAACACTTCCTAAGGCTTATACTTGAAGTAGGATGCTTCCTTATGACTTGAAAAGCTTCAAAACACAAAATGGTAGAAGTGCCATGAGTTTACGGCCGTAAACTCATGGGTTTACGACCGTAAACTCCAAAGGAGTTGGTCACAAAACCGTAAACTCCAATAGAGGGTCCCCTTGAACCCTAAACTCAATAGCCAAGTCCTACAACCCTTAGATGCAATCCTTAGGACTTATAGCACTTAAATCAAGTGTTTTACATGTCTTAGGATGTCTTAACTTGGTTAATTAGTTGTTTTATAACTAACTGGATACATATATGTGTCATTATATGTTAACTAGGATCCTTGTGTGTGCTCAAGTCTTCACTTGACACTTAGCATCATATACATTCCGTTCATCCAAACCACTCACTACAGGTGAGTTCATACCCCTTAATTAACCTTTTAAATGTTTTTAAATGCTTTTATGGGGGGGGGGAATACAAGTTGAACAATTATAGTTATTATATCAATCACATGTGATTAATAACTACCAAACAAGTGGATTTCTTACTTTTCAAACTGTGTTACCAAACTGTTTTACTTCAAACTATTTTACAAACTCTTTTATATACCAAATGCTTTTATCAAACTCTTGTACATGTCAAATACTGTTACTTAAACTCTTTTAAACTTATATTCTGTTAAATGTGTATCTATATAGATATAGTTATATAAGTAGGATTCAAAGGACTTAGGACTGATAGCTCACCTTACTTCCTGTTCCTTGTCTGGTTGTGGACTTAGGGTATCAGGGTTATTTGTCCGAAGGTCGTTTGAATCCTAGTTATATA